CGGGGGGACGCAGGGAGCTGCTGCTCGCGTGTCTTGCTGCTATGTGCCCTGTCAGTGTGGCTCAGTGTTAAAAGCATGTGTCCATGTCCTCTCTCCCCTCATTGTTTTCTTCCTCTACCATGTTCTCCCGGTGTAATGATTCGGATCAGATGCTGCTGTGTGGAATTAGGATCTCCCGCCCTCCTCCCCCTCACGCTCCGTCTCTCACACTGGCCCCTCTGGCTGACAGGCATCTCGTTAGTGCAGTATGTCTGTCAGTGAGGTTTGAGATTGAGCTGTGCCCCCGCATATCCCTGATGTGTCTCTCTCTCCCGCTCACACACACACACACACACACAAAGTTGACGGCGGCGCTGAACAAGCCGGTCTCTCCGGCCTCAATAATGATCTGATGTCCCGAACTTTTAAGCTGCCACTTTAGTGGAAGAGTTATTTTCGTGCTACGCACCAAAGACAACATTTTTTTTCCCTTTCTTTTTGCTTCTTTTTAAGAATCGTTAACTCCCTTTTTCTCCTCTCGTGTCTTCCTCCTCTTCTCCTCCGTCAGGTGGAGATCAAGATGAAGAAGACGGAAGCCGTCAGATGGGAGAAGCTGGAGGGAGAAGGACACGAGTCCAGCGTCAAACACTTCAATCCAAGTCAGTCCGCAGCTTCGACATTTGCCCTCTTCCACCCCACCTCCCACCACCAGACTGTTCTCCTGTGTCTCTCCTTTTCTCCCTTCTTATTTCTCCCTCTCTCTGCAAAGATCAATATAAGCTCCTGTGTTTGTCTGTTCTGCACTAAAATGAGAGTGGGCAGTCGAGACCTGCTTAGAGTCTTTCATTAGTCTGACGGCGAAAGTAGGCAGTGAGAGGGAAAGGTATGACAGCGGAATATGACTCAATATTTTAACCCACACATTCCTATTACTGACAGGATTAATTACTTATGTAAGTGTGTGTTTGAAGGGGGAGTAAAAGTTAAGTGGGGAGCCAAACTATGTTGTTTTTTTTCCCCTCCAGCTCATTCTCTTGGACATCTTGTTTATTAGCGCTTGCTTTTAAATTGGACTGCGGTTTCATTTAAACATCACATTTGACATTTTATTTTTATGGCACTGCATCTCAGTTTGTCCACACTTGGCCTGAATCTGTCTGCTGTGCATTTTGCTGCTGTATTTATGTAAATCTGCGTCTGGATTACATTTCCTGCTCTCCCCCCCATCCCGCCATCTCTTGTTGGGATTATGGTGGGTGTATTGCATCCAGAAAAATATAGAAATCCAATCACAATGGGATTCTTCGCCATCTAAGTCGGACGATTCAGTGGCAAGGAGAGTGAAATTGGTTACGAGCTGACAGTTGAGTCTGTGCGCTGTGATTGGATGATAAAAGTCAGCGTATTTAATTAAAAATGTTAATGAACATTTGAAGTGTTTTCACAAAAGCAGTGAGCTCTTTTTATTTTGGGCTCTGATGGAATTTAAAGATTTCTTTCTTCATCAGACCAGTACCCCACATCGTCCCACTACACCTGCAAGTGGGACAAGTTGGTGGTGGAGATAAACGAGGAGGAGAAAAATGAGCAGGTGGAGGGAGACGCGGCACTCAACAAGCTCTTCCAGCAGATCTACTCGGACGGTTCAGACGAGGTCAAACGAGCCATGAACAAATCCTTTGTGAGTATTATGTTTAACTTGCGTTACACGTGTTTCACACTGAAAACAGTCGTACACGTGCACGGTCGCAAAAACGTTCTCTTCTCAGTTCTAAAAGGAAAGGTTTCATTTTCCTTCCTCACCGCCTCCATCGTAGAATCGGTGTATTGGTGTCTGCCTAGATGGCCACCTTTTATTTGAAGTGGACTCTGAGACGCATAACAGAGGTCAATAAGTTCAATCTTTGTAGCCTGAGCAGCCCACGTCTGGCCCTTCCTGTTTCATTTTTAAATCAGTTACACTTTTAACCTAAATCGATCCAATCTGTTAGCTGCTGCCACAGGACATCATATTTACAGGCTTTTGCAGTCTAATGTGTTACGTTTGCACACATTAATACAGGTAAAAACCTGTTTTAATGTGTGCTGTTATTTGCCATATTTAATGATAATTTATTATTTTGAATCAGAATTAAAGTCATGAAGAGAACAGAAAAACATTTCTTTTTTTTTGCACTTTTCTTTCGTTTAATTAAAAAAAAAAAAAAAAATCTTATTTTAAACACTTTCCACTGACTGACAACAACACAGAGCTCTGGTCTCTGGAAGCAGTTGAAGGAAATTAAGAGTTTATGCTAGCTGACAGCTCTGGGACGGCTTAACTAACCCAGACTAGATGTAAAGTTGGCCAATTAGCAAATAACATATTAGGTCTTTTGAAGAAAAAAAAAAATCGGTTGAATATTTCAATGTTGTTGCTGTAGATCCTCAACAGATCATTTGCATTACTGGGGTATTGTTTCTGTTTTTAAAGAATGCCAGTGATCTACCTCATTGGTTCCTCCAGTCCGTGTATAGACTCGCTCAGCTCTGTTAGGTTTTGGAAAGACAATGGCCCAAAATTGTAATTGGCAGGTCAGATGTTTGGCCCCCAAAAAAAGCAAAATCATTAATTGGAACTGACCAAGACAATTATAAATGTGACTTTTGGCCCCTCAAATAAACTTTTGTTGTTGACTGTTAGTTTTCTAGCATGCCTAATTGACAGCAACCCACAGACTTACACAAACATCTAATTGGGGGAGCTCGCAACAATTATCAGAATAAGTTCCAGATTTTTAAAAAAAATGCTCTCATTTTCTTTAGTTAAAGCTTTAGCGGTGCTATGAAAATGCAAAGCTGCATCAGTAATTATTTACACAATTCTCATTATATTGAGTGAACACACACACACACACACTGGGTTGATTGATGCAGCAGGAACAGATTGTCTCGTTAATGAGCGTGTATTAAAGTGTAATGAAGGAAGTGTGTATGATTGCAGCCAAATGTTGATGGATGAAGGCACGGATGGGCATTCATTAACGATATGATCTCATGATGCTGGAGAAAAAAGTATTTACTGTCATTTCCAGCATACAGCCTGAAGCCAGCCGTGCTTCGGTGTGATCAGTTGTCATTTCTGCATTTAGCTTAAACATCTTAAACACGAGTTCTTGTTACAAAACATCAGGACAATCAAAAGTTAAACGGTTACCAGTCACCTTGTACTTCAGCTGTGCTGCGGTGGACTTACCTGAGGCTCACTAGCAGAGAGAAAGTGTTGCATAACTGCTACTGAAAACCTGTGACTTCTCCTCTTTGTGCAGATGGAGTCAGCTGGTACGGTCCTGACCACCAACTGGGGAGATGTAGCCAACAAGAAAGTGGAAGTGAAACCGCCCGATGATGCAGAGTATAAGAAGTTCTGAGCGTCCCCTATTTCGCCATGACTCCACCTCCCCCACCTCAGTTCATCATCTTTCTTGACATCTGTCCACCTGAGCTACAGCGGGATTCGTCGTCGCCGCCCTGCAGCCTGCATGGCTGGCCGCTGCTTCGCCTCTTCTTCGTGTTTGTCACTAAGTGCAGGGAGCCAAGCATTCCCACCATCACCCAAGCAAACTACATATGGCCTCTTCTCTGCAATATATGTTCGGTTAATTAAGATGATCTGTTGAAAGGAATGATCAACATTACCTGATTTCTTTTAAAGGCCAATGAACTCAAAAGGGAACTGAGATCGGGCTTAAAATTGACGCGCTTCACTTCAACTTCCCCCCGCCCCTCCTAATCACTCACAGCCTTTATATTTGGGAGCCTTCTATGACTTTGCAATATTAGTACTTGTATAAAAAAGTTGCTAAAACATTTGTGAACACTACCTTTAAACCAACTGATTGTGTTTCACAGATCATGCTTTTTTTGTTTTCCTCCTCTTTTTTGCACTCTGTAAAAACAGCAGTCCTCTGCAAAACAACTTATCTGGAAAGTGTGCGACATGTCTGGCTCGCCACCGGTCTCTCTCTCTCTGTGGGATTCAAGCTTCGGTGTAAATAAAAGATTTGGCTCACAAACTTTGCCCCGTGTTTTATGGTTTCTTGTCTCCCTGAAACCGTTTTCGAGCAGCTCGGAAAAGTCTTGCTCAAACACAAAAACGGCAATACATTACAACAGGGATCCGTGCTCTGTGATTATGTGCTGGGAGCGATGAAATGTGGTATTACTGATATGAGCTCAGGCAGTTGAGATACGGTTGACAGCTTGAGGATATGGTTTATGTATTGCGGGTTTCGATTGGTATCGAGTGGAGGAGCTCGAGCTGCAGGTGAGGATGCGGCCCTGAGGTGGAGCGGTGATTTACAGAGGGGAGATGTGAGGGGAGCGGGCGCCTCCCCTGTCCTCCTATCGCATATATGCGGCAGCCGAAACTGTGAGGGGGCGTCCTGCCGAGGCAAGAGAGCATTAATATGGATCAGCCTCCTAACCACATCATCAAGCCTCTCACACTGAGTTAAGTGTTAAATTCATCACACATCGTTTCATCTCTCGTGACGATCAAACGCCCATTTGTGACTCTGGATGGAACTCTTAGCTTTGTAACACTTTTTTACACACTCACACTAACACACTCCTTCGCTATCCCTGACACACACACAAATACACCGCCCCCATCCTTACCCCCTACCCCCGCCCGAGGCAGCTCCGTGACATCAAAAGGAGCTAAGCGCTTTGCATCGTGGGTAAGATCTGGGAGCGTGACGGCTACAGAGTCTTTAGTCTCATTAAAGAGTTCTAGAGCTGCAACTCTCACATTAAAGAACTCTGGAAACTTCTTTCTGCTCATCCCTTTGGAGCAGCTGCCAGACGTGACACTTCTCAAAACCATTTTTGAGCGGAAAAGAGAAGAGAGGGTGATCCCGAGTAAACTCGCCGAAGTGAACGCCGTGTATTTACAAACGGGCTACAAAGTCATTTGGTCAATTAGAGAAGGAAAAGAGAAGGACGCCTTTAATGTTTACTTAAAAAAAAAAAAAGTTTATTCAGTGATATTGCACTTCGAGATCACTTCTTCAATGCTTTACATGGAGATGAAAGTTTCTGAGACGATACGTGCAGTACATTGTTTTAATGAGAGCTTCTCATGAAGGCGAAAGAGAGATAAAGGGCTGGAAAACATGCGTTTAAGATGCAAGTTAAGACTGCTATTATTGGCTGAAGGCACATTTATTTACAGAAAGCAAAAAATGAATGAAAAAGGCTGCTTATCAGCGCTAAAAATACAAGCTCACCTTGCTTTTCCTAAATGCGGGTAGTTTTACATGCTTCCTTTTTATGTGGTGTAGAGCTGCACATCATAAGCTGTGTGATCTTGATGGAAATCAAGAGTATGGTGTGTGTGTGTATGTGTGTGTGTGAGATCATGACTGCCCTAGATTCTTTACCATGCATTGATAATGTGTGGTCACAGCAACCTGCTGAGGATGAGAAGCCACCATCTTCCTTTTCTAAACTTTATCCTTCTCCTATCTCTCCTCCCCCATCCCTCCTGCACTCTACCATCTCTCACGTGGGCGGGGAGGCTCACACCAGACCCAGGATGCGTGCCACCCACCAGTTGCAGGGCATGATAACTCTGCAGGCCACCCTGCAGCCCCTGTAGTGGTAGGGCCACGGGTGGAAGCCTTGGAGAGGCTCGCAGATCCTCTGACAGTGGGTGTAGCCGCGGCGGCACTCTCTGCAGCACACGCCCTCGTGGTCCAGCCTGGGGTCGATGTTCATGTCCTGCTCGCCCTCGAGGCCTCTCTGAGAGGAGGGAGAAGAGAGGAGAGCGGTCAGAGTGAGGCGTTCTTCGGCAGGGCGGCAAAAGCTTGTTTTAAACCAATTAAAAAGGATTTCCGACAGGCTGTGATGGGGGAGGAGGGGATGTTGTCAGATGTGGGTTTTTGTTGTCAAATATTTTCTTTTTTCAGAAACTGCGCTTGCTGTTTACCCCGTTCTGTGGTTGTCAGGAGTGGGTTTGGTGGGGTTGGGGTGGAGGATTAGGGAAAAAAGAAAGTGGGGCCTGTAATGAAGGGATGAGGATGCATGTGTGTATGCATGGGACTCTGTGTGTGCTTAGCAGGGGCAAAGGGGCTGCTGAAGAGGAGGAGGTGGTGGGATGTTGTGGAATTATTCATACAGCCTCAATGCTGAAAGGAATGCTTTGGACAGCCACACACAGAAAACCGCACGCACAGACTACACGCCCACGCATACACTCAGATTTGCAGTGACAATCCGGGCCCCTCCACCGTGACCCCGGCATCTGCTGCCGCTCGCACAGCTGTGAGAATCCCTCGCTGGGAAAAGCCGTCTCAGGTAGGCCTCAGATCTGATCGGACAGCTGCGACGCCGCGGCCCAACGTAAACACAAGAGAAGAAGAAAAAGAGGAACCGTGTGAGTCACGTTTGTGTGTGTGACTCACCTGATAGGGGTTCTCAGGGTTGAACTCCGCTTCCACGTCCTCCTCCACCTCCTGACCTGTGGCTCCGGCTGCCTGGCGGCGCTGACGGGGGGCAGCCCTCCTCTTCCTCTGGCCGCCTGCACACATCACACTCTCAGTATCTGACAGCAGACCAAATCTAGGAGCAGAATGGCACTAATGTGGCACACAGCCGTTTCTCAGGCAGCATTTTGAAGTCCGCAGCTGAAGCAGAAGGAAAATTGTGTTTTGAGAACTTTTGACCTCTCAGCACGCTAAGAATTCTACACTCAGCAGCTCAGAAACTTCAAAAGGATTTCTGCCTTTCTTTCTTTATAGCCTGTTTTTCTCTCTCTCTCTGTAGCTTAAACAGCTGCGATGTTAAATGAGAATGCTTGAGACTGTTTGACCCATATTCTCTTTGTTTTTTGTAAAAACAAGAAAAAATGACTGTTTTCTTGTCTTTAAAAAAAAAAAAAAAATCCATACTACTGAAAAATCTGTTTGCTTACTACTCGAGAAGGTGGGACGGAGCCAGAAGATTGGCAGGTCGCCGCACAAGTCCTTGATCTTGTTGCTGAGGAAACCAGAGTCCGAGAGGGGTGTTTCAGCTGCTACCCAGATCAAATCATCGTCGAACTTGGCCGGGATCACTTCATCCTCCTTTTGTGGGTGGGAAAAGCAGATGAGACTGATATGCAAGTAAAAATCTTTCAAAACACACACACGGCTGCCAAAGGTGTAACATCACACTTCTTGTATCTTGTTATGCTTTAAACAGTCCACACTCTCTGCATCCTGCCCAAGTCTAATCTGAATTAATGCTGCGCTGTTAGTGCTTTTATGTGAACATAAAACAGAGTAGTAAAAAGGGAGCCCTTGAGGCTTTAGTGTACACATTTCCCTTTTGCGCTGACGTCTCGCTGTACACACAGTGTCAGAACTCATCAGCTTCTGAAGAGGAGAGACTGGATGTCCTAAATTTGCAGGTTTCTGCAGATAAACTAATGAGGTTTGCAGAGGAGACACTGAATAAACATACATACTCTGTATCCACAGCCTGCAGGTAAGGAGGGGCAGGTGAGGCACGGGTGGGGGTGGGGTGGAGGC